AAGCGATTTACAGGCACTGGAGGTATCGGAACAGACACTCAAAATAGAGTCCATTCAGCAGTTGATTGATAGACAAGACATCGATGTAATGGTTCCTAAGAACAGCAATAATGAGAAGTTTCTTAAAAAGGTATCTTGACATAATAAATATTATTAAACAGCCTAGTTACAATATAATTTTAATATTTTTATTTTTAATTAGCGCTACAAAGAGCTGATACCTCGCATACAGTATGTCAGGCGCCGGGATGTTTACCAAATGAGTACTATATTAAGACTTATTGAACAAAATGTTGTGTTAATTGGCTCGCGATTCATGTTTAATACAATAAGCAAATATTATTCAAACTATGATTTGATGGCATCGAGTGATATACAGGATATGTGTTTGTATGGCATTCCTATGCGACGGACTGTGTCTCAAGAATTTAAGATACAATTCCGGAAAATGTTTGTATATTTTGAAAATTATTTTTATTATAAATCCAAAATATAATTTATTTTTGCAGTTTGAAGTGTCTATACGAGTCAGGCATTGAAACTCATAAATCATTGCAAGATATAATGTTTATATCATATAGAGATTATTTGGAGCATAATATTAGTGTCAACTATAGACATGAATACAATGGAAATGATTTTAAAACAAAAGATTTTGCATTAAATTTGAGACAATTGTTGATATCGTTTGTAATATTGATTGTTGGCTTTATTTTATCTGTTATAGCAATTATTTTTGAAATAAGTATAAATTATTTCATACAAATTCTTCTTATTATAAATGTTAAATTACTTATTTAAAATTATAAAACCAATGCTATTATAATCGCCATGTTTGTCGATAAAGTTGTTAATATATCTTTAAAATAAATAAATTATAAAATAGCTTTGCATTATTTAAAGGTATTTAAGGTCAATGATAATGTGACCTTATATTATATAATATTATAATTCAAACATAGAATTGTTTTACTAAAACTGGTAACACTATTTAATTATTTAATTTAGATTTAAATTACCAAATACATGCAATAAAGTAAATTTTATTAAATAAATTTATTTAAATTAATATTTTGTTGAAAATATATTATTTAAACGTAAATGGCAAATAGATTATATAGAATTATATCAATAAAATTTAATTATTCATTTAAAAATATTTATAATTTTTTCTTAAGTAAATAAGATATAAAATCATAGCGTTGCTATAGTTACTAATGTATCTATTAAATAAGTTTTTAATAAACAGTATCATATTATTGGAAATATAGTTTAAAAATACTGTTTTTAATTTTTTTATCCAGACTAAAAATATCAAACATAAGCTATATAAATTAATTAAAATGTTTGAAAATCAAAACAAGTTTTGAATTGAATTAAATGAAACCAATCTATATTCGCATTCAAATAGTAATATAAATGTTATTATAATCGCCATGTTTGTCGATCAGGTTGTAAATAATGTTTTCTTTATATCTTATATTTTAAAATATATTATTTTAAGGTCATTAAGGTCAATAATAATTTAACATTATATTGCGATCCATATAAATATCTCCTAGATGTTATTATGCAAAAATTCAGCAATAGGTTTGCAAAATATTAATGAAAAACTAGTTAACATATTGCTTGCTTAAAATACTACCATTATTAAGGGTGTTATTCAACGTGGTCTACGAGCAAACCGGTGGTTATCTATTGCCTAACGGCTCGTGGAGTGGAGCACTCGGTCTCATACAGAGAAATGTATAAACATTTTAATTTTATAAATCTGTGGTTTTAAACAAATTCAGGATTATCGATAAGTTGTGAGTCGAAAGCTTGTTACTATTGATTATGAGTAAAGTATAGGAGCTTTCGACTCACAACTTATCGATAATCCGGAATTTGTTTAAAAACCACAGAAATACTGTATTTTAAATATTATTTTGAATATATCTACAGTTTCTGATTTGGCCATGGGTACTTTCTCAAACACTGGTTACCGGGATACTTTAGTAGATTTTCCGCACCTGATGCCCGACCCGTCCATACTAACTGTCATTAGTTCACCGAAATATTACGCAAACAACGAGTTGTTTAAAATATTTAATACTTTTAAACTCGAGGTGTGGCTAATAATTGGCATTATTTTTATAATCATTTGTGCCATAAATGGTCTGAAAACATGTCTTGATTATTTTAGTCTACTTTTAGGCCAAGGTATTATAAATAAAATTAAATACTATATGTTATTTAAAATAACAATAATAATTGTATAATAATATTAACTTTTGCACATATTTAAGGAATTGCTATGAAACATAATCACAATAAATGTTTGATCGGTGTCTGGGCATTGGGTTCACTAATACTCATAAACTATTTCGGAAGCGATTTACAGGCACTGGAGGTATCGGAACAGACACTCAAAATAGAGTCC